TACAGAAAGCAAAGCGGCGTAAGGAAGTAAACTAATTTGCCAGCTCACAGACCTACTATCTTATCTGATAAAATATATAAGGAGAACTCCGGGGTTTGATGTGAAAACAAACCGTGTCAGGATGAAAGTTTTGAAGTCAAGTGTTCGGACGAATAAGAGTTGGATATTACCTGCTTCATGCTTCAGTACCAAATGAAAAACAGCCTTCCCAGCGAGTGCCAATGTAGTAAGTTTAGCCTCTAACGCCAGTTCAACTACAATTCGAGAACTCGCAGCAGCTCCTTCAAAGTCAGATATTCCACTTGCTAAACTCACTCGTGTAATGACTTCGATTCCATTAATTGGAACTATTCAAACAGCGTGAAGCTATAAAGGGGGTTAGGGAACTTGACAAGGAAGATGGAGATATTGATGAAATGTTGATAAATGGACCTCGCTTTCTTGTTGCTGAGAGATCTTGCACGCATACAGAGAAATGGACGCGGAGAAAAATATTTATTTAGTAATATTTATTATATATTACTGATGGTGTGGATTGAAAATCCATGGATAAAATATATTTAAAACAAAGAAATTCTGGAATTGTCACACAGAAGCTATGACAAAATAGCTTGAGAGCCCTATTCACATGAACTTTGACTCGTCATTCAACACTGCATGTAGACTGAATTCTTCACCATATACAAATGGAGAAGAGACAATAGGGTTACTTATCTCTTATTTACGTAGATTTACACCACATTCCGTGTAGATTTACCTTTAGTATCTATGTGCGTAGCGGCACAAGTAGAGAGAAATCCGCCCCATCCGTGCATTATTTTCATCTCAATTGTGTATTTATGGGCATAAAGTGCAAAAAATGCCCATAAGTGAAGTAAGATCTTGTGTTGTCCAGCCAGAAGCCACTTTTATGGTGAGCACTATCCTAAGCAGCTGGGAAACCGCTGACCACCCTATGTATGCTTACCCTTTCACTACCCAGACATACCTGCTTATTATGCAATGTCAGGAAGTGAATTCAGTCTATCTGCTTACACTTCAATTGGGTGTGCGCAGTAAGCCGACCCTGATGTAAAACGACATGATTTTCGATATGATTGGGATCAGTCTTCCGTACTCTAGAGTTGTTATAGGTTCATAAATATTCGGTGAATTAGGCATGCAACTCCCCTTACGAATGAAGCTCATATCCGATGGCGGAGAGGCTCGTCGGTGCAATACGGAGTGAAGGAAGAACGAAGGGGATGAGGACAATAAATACGAAAGACATGTGTTACTAGGTATGGAGAGAAGGGGCAGCTAATTCCATTTCAAGAAGAAAGAAGAGAAGGAGGAGCTACTGAGACGGTCAAGCTGAAAAGTGATCTCGCTTTACCCGATCCCCAAGCACTGACATTGATAGAAGTCTGGTTTGCAGCATCGGCCAAACAGCTGACTCTTCTTTTTCGGATAAGATTTTCCAACTATTCATTCATAGCGGACGACCCTCCTCGGGTTTGTTATTTTCCTTCCAAGCCTCCGGTGTGCTATCTACCAACGAAACGCAGAATAGAAGATCCTGGAAACCCAGGAAGAGCGAATTCACTTTTCAGAAATATGTTCATTTGAAAGTGAACACGGAAAATAGGATTGGGGCTATAAATTGCTCTCTTTATGAAAGACCTCCATCTGTTTACTTTTGTGGTTGGTTACTAGCGATATTATGAGCATTTATCTCATTCTCCTGAGTAGACTACTTTTCTTCTATATCTAATCCTTTTAAGAAGTAATCGAACGGGTGGGGAAAGACCATCAAGTTCTTCGATATGATATGGTTTTTTATAAACCCACAAGGAAGTATTTGGATCTTTTAAGGCCAATCTTTTTCTTGCCCTTGTGCTTAGCGGTGGTGCCAGGCATCGGTTGGCTATTAAGGATTAAGCTTCGACCCGACACATCTACTGCACGATCCTTTGGAGCCGGGGGCTGGATAAAACACAGAACTAAATCGACTTCCTTACCAGCATGTCTGGGATTCCTGTGGTTCTTACTGCCCCGGTGAATGTGTAGGTACGAATGACTATCAAAGAAAGTGAGACCTATAGGTTGGATTTTACTCCCTAGTCGTATCTTTTAGCAGGTTCGCTTTGGTCTTCTTTGTTGCCGTAGACCAGATTGAGCTACGATTGGGTTCTCATTCTCCCACGTGTCGCTCTAGCACATGCTGTATGGACGCATGCTACGGCGGATAATCCGCACAATGAGATTCTACTTTTATGGATTCCACTTTGGGGAAGGGTCCAATCTCCGGCTACTAAAAAGGTTTATGTCCCATGGGAAAAGTTTAGGCTTGTCTTACCTCTCTGCTGCGTTCGGACTCCCGCTACATAGTACTTCTGACACCGGAGAAGATGTAAGATTGATCCATCTTTTGAACTTCAGAGGTGAAAAACGACTTCCAGTTCACGAGCTCCTTCAATCGATAGAGAATCCGTATCGGTTGTCGATATCAGTTATAGATGGTTGCCGTTCGGGGGTGCTTAGGACCAGAGGTACTTGCATGCAGACCGGAGAGGAGGAGGAAAACTTAGAATGTCGTCTTTTGCGACATAACCAGGGCCCTCTTGCCCAAATTGAAACGTTAAATCCACGATGCGATGTCCATCTTTTTCATTTCATAATTTCCTGGAAAAAAAGAATTAACTAATGAATCAAACTTATCTTTATGGAAGATTCGGGAATATCTACACGAGTACTCATTTTGCAAACATAGCAGAAAATCTTCTAAAGAAATGGACATATTGATTTTATCCATTTTTGCTCTTGGGGCGTTGAACATGATAAAGGTGGAATGTCAGAGCAATTCAAATTATGTATGTAAGGCCCGTTGAAGTCCCCGAGAAAGAGTCTAAATAGGGCTATAAGTAGGCCGTTTGCTATTGCAATAAGGGCTGCTCGCCTTTCCTTTTGACGGCTTGGCTTCCTATCGCTCCTATGTAGTGGTCGGCCTTAAAAGTATCTTTGGACCCTACCATACCATCATGCATGCCTATGTTATAGTGCGTTAAGCTTCGCCAGAAGCAAGCAAGATGATGAAGCGAAGCTTCGTAGACAAGGCTCGTTCCGTGCTTGACTTACGAGCTCGTGTAGTAAGGCCTCGCCCTACTTCAATAAGGGCTTCTTATGCACTCCACCCGTAAACGAGCGTTAGAGCTTTTTGAGCGAGCGAGCGAAGCCTTCCTGGAGCTTCCCCCTTCCCTCACCCGAGAATTGCATTTCCGCTTCAGCTTCCCCGGTTTAGTTGGTTTGGAGGATTAATTGATTGGATACCCAATCCGCATAATCTTTCAAAGTCACCGCTTCTACGACGATAGGCGTAAAGGCATGATTAGTTCCACAAATCTCACTGCACTGACCATAGTAAACTCCTTCTCGTTGTACCGAGATGGAGGTAAGATTTGAACGACCAGGTACAGCATCACATTTGACACCTGAGGAAGGTACAGCCCAACTATGAGGTACATCAGCGGGTGTTACAATCATACGTAGATGAGTTTTGGCTGGTACAACCACTCTATTGTCAACTTCTAATAAACGTGATTGACCCAATTCTGGATCATCTTCTGGAATCGTATAACTGTCAAAAGTGAGTGACTGTTCATCGGAACTGTTATAGTCCGAATACTCATAAGGTTGGGTCGACGCCCGCCTCCCCCCAAACTTTACTTGCAAGTTTCCCCGCAAAAAGCTCTCCACGCCTACTCTTATTTATAAAGAGCACTATTCTTCTTTAGTTAGGTAGTTCTCCCCCCTCTATGAGACCGTAAGACCCCGGTGGAATCGAAGGCCCGCTTACTAATAGGCAAGAGGGGACCCTTTCTCGCCCAGCCCTACCTACATCAGTGAAGCTGGAACCGAGGAAGACAATGTTCAACACACATGAGACAAAATGAAGGTATGGGACGGCCAGTTCACCACGGAAAGCGAATTCGATCCTTTAGTAGTCTTCTTTGTTCGAAAAATGCGCAGTGGAAAGGGATGCTAGTCGGCTTTGGCGAAGTTGTAGGCCCCAATAGATCAGATCAAGAGTGATTCCTCACCTATCCTGTCAGGGGCCAAGTCGAAGGCTCGAGTATAGATTCCCTATGCTCATGTGAACGGCCGGCCTGTAGATCTAAAAGGATCCATAGGCCCGACCGGAAAGTATGTTTGTCCACGAAAAAAAGTCATTCATGAGACCTCGAATTCCCACGTTCCAGCCTGCATTATGCCAGCAGGTCCCACCCCCAATTTCTTGAGTCACCCTTATCTAAAAAAAAAAGGACGGAGTCTATCTAGATCATAGGATCACTGTATTCAGAGGTCAATTCTCTTTCTTTGACCTCCCACCGTTCACGACATCCCTTGCTTCTCGCAAGAACGGCTCCTCGGTGGAGGAGTAGAAGCGCTGGTCCCCTTCGGTCAAGTGCTTGTGCGTGCTCTTACCTACCGTAGGACCTCCGTCCCCGAAGCGAAGAAGGAGGAGCAGGAACAACAGGTTGTCCTCTCTTGGCCCAGTAGTTCCGCAACTACTACCGTGGTTGTTGCCAACGGGGATCCCCCATTCCGAAAGGTAACGGGGCCGGCCCTTAGGTCCAAAGTTGTATGCCACTGCTGTGGTGCCGATAGATTCACTACTAAAGCCCCGTTATCGGACATTGCAGGCTTAGCATCTATTTTTCGTATATCGCTCCACCACACCGAGAAGAGGTATGTGTACCTCCAGCAATAACAAGAATGGAACCATAGGCTCCTATGCTGGGAGCATTTCGGGGTATAGGTCTAACCACCTCAACTCTCCGTTTCTGGCATGCTATAGTTCTTTTAGTCTCTCGACGACGGGAATGGGAGATGACCGGTAAGCCAGATGCTTCGCGAACCACCGGTACATCGCGAACTGAGACGTCATACGCAGAGACTGATATGGCCGGTAATAGACAACAATGAGAATAAGACGTAAGAGAGAGAACGGAAAGAATGAGCCGCCCCCACCGTTCACATTATTCACCGCTCGTTACATGTCTTGAACTTCCTCATTCGAAGCCTGAACCTATAGGTTCGTTCCATGTCTTCCACTCTATACACCACTCCAGGCCGCCAAGGTTTTACTTTTCACATTATTTATTATAGGGAGGCCTTGTGGGATCTTTCAATTGGTGTACTGCTACTACCTTAATTCAACAAAGAAGCCCATTGCAACCAAAAATACATCGGTGCACGAGCTTTTTTCATTTCGAATAGAGCTTCGTGAGATGAGAGAAATCGAAGTTGAACAAGCGTATCACGTAGCCACAGATGATCTTGTCTCTGCCACATATCCTTTCTTGGAACAAGGCGCCTCTTCTAACTCAGTCGGCTAGCGTGCCTGGGAGGGAGGCAAAGTCGTACCCGAAGAAAGTCTATTGAAGAAACTTGGGAAGTTTGCCGTTGGACACTAACGGGAAACGCAAAACAACTCTAGATACTTGAATGTGAAGACCAAAAATGCCGAACATGCATTCTTTTCTCGGTTGCGGTGTACTTGGAGTGAAAAGAGGGAAGAAGCCGGAAGAAGAAGCCCCCGAAGAGATAGATGGAAAGCTGTGCATGAGATGTGCTTTCTAAAGATTGTTGGGTATGTCTTGATGAGGGGGTTAACCAAGGATGTCAATCACAGGTTTTTGGGGTGGAAAAAGTGAGGAAGTGTGTGGGGCGGCGGCACCTCCTGATGAGCAAGGAAGGCTCTCTACTGGACTGGAAAAGTTGTTGACACCTAGTAGCGAAGAACGAAAACATAGTAGATTTTTTCCCTTACACCTTCACCTATGCACTATTCTCTACTGTTTTAAGCATATGTGCTTGGGTAACTTGCTATAAGAATTCTTTCAAGACTTGAAGCCTATTTTCTCTTTAGGCCCAGAAAGAAGATTTCTTTTCTTTGCTAATTCCTCTCAATGAAATTTGCCATGTTGCACTAAGTTACTTACGGATGTATGCATGCAATCCGGGAACACTTTGGGGTGAACACCCATCCGAACAAGTAGGGTCAATAGTTCAGCATTTAGGCCGTAACATTTAGCAAAAAACTAATCTTAAACCCAACAAGTGCTCTCCGAACCAAGCTAGATAGTCTCCTATCACTAGGCTCACCAACCAACCTGGACTTAGATTCTTTCTTATTATTCTAACCGGATATCAAAATCATAAGGATTGTTTCCAGCCAAGAGTTCCCATATGACATAAGCGCTCTTGGGTGGGGTGGGCCCTCATTCGCCAGGTCTTTGAGTGCCCGTCGTACCACGTGGTTGGTACACTAGGCTGATAGAGACTTTACTTTAAGGATCTGGCACCTGCGCCCGACTCGGTCTGCCAGTGAATTTTGGCTCTACGTCCGGTCGGGTATGTTCGCATTCGTACAAATGGAAGGCATCGCGTACGTTAACCTTCCTTTATTGGGCTGGGCCATTCCATCTTTGAGAAGGGGCCCAATCTCGTATTTGATGGTCGGCGTGGCAATAGGCTTCGCTTCGTAGACTGGTTTCCCAGCCGTTGCAAAGACTTCGCGAGAACGGTCAGGGGCGCGGATTCGCCAAGCTAGGGCAAACAAAGCCGTCCGGCCCTACCAGATTAAGAATGCGAAGGCCTTTCCTTCGAAAGGAGAAAAAAAATAGCTATGCTATTGACCGACCCTTTCGTATTTACTTCGAATCAATAGGCCTATCATTTTTCATGAGGCGGGCCAAATAGAGAATGAAATGCAAAAAATAGGGGAAGGGGGGATGGTCGCGCCTTTGATTTTGTTTAAGGGCTGCTCGCCTGACTAAAGTACCAAAGGCTTTCACGGCTTCCACCCCTACCTTAGAATCTAAGCCCTTTGAAGCGCCAGTAGTTGTAGCTGTGGGTAAGGTTTTCGTTCAACTCGCTCCGGGTTCCGATCTATATGACCCCCAGACAATACAAAGTACACCTCTTCCGTAGAGGCAAGCTGGTAGTAACCTAACCTTTTAGAGTCGGGGGAGCCGAGCCCTTAACTCTATCAATAGAAAAATCTTCGTGCGTGGCGTGAGTTGGAATCCTAGAAAAGATCGATTGAGACTCCCTCCCCGGTTCCACGAAGATCTCTACGTACTTGTCTAGTCCAGGACAACTGGGATCTTCCGGTCTGCGTGCGTGGGAGCAGCTGAAACAAAGAAGAGTCTGGTCCGCTCTTCATTCAAGCCCGGCCCGCCCATCTGCTGCTAGGTCCGAGAATGGCGCCAGGCGAGGGTGCCGCTATGCCCCGCAGCTCTGCTGCGGCCGGCCCCCAGACTATGCAAAAGAATCGAGGCCGGGGGATGTCGTCCATCAGGGCCCCCGCCTTACAAATGGGCCGTCCCCCTTAATGAATCGAATGGTCCTTCGACCCTCGTTTGATTCCGACGGCCGGCATAGATGAAATCCCATGAGACCCGCCCACTATTACTACAAAAAAGCCCTGCCCCTGGCACCTTCGCTAGACGGAGAGTAAGCGACTTCTATTAGCACCGGACCGTCGAGTCGAATTGATCGTGTCATGTGCAACGTCCATCAATGGTGGTTCATTAATGTCCATAGATTTAGACTCCTTCCCCCCTCCCTTATACGCAAAAGATCGAGAGGGGCCCAAACCAAACCGAGAACGTAAACAGAATTCGACTCACTCTCGTATGGCTCGCCCTCGAGCCCTGGGCGAGTCGGCCGGGTCTTTCCCTCTTGTTCTGTTTCCGCCACGATAAAGACGCACGGAAGAACTATGGTATGCCCAGCGCAGCGCGTGGAGGATCCGTTGAGAGTGTCCCTTGTCTCGGTAGGGAACAGTACCTATTGTCTTGAAAAAAAGTCAGTGCTACGGTCCCCTATTGTTTGATCCAATATTGACCGGTGCGGATCACGTTCTACTACCTCCGGTCCGTGGTTCGACCTCCCGTAGTGGTCCTTGCTTTTCTTTTTGAAAGCTCCGTGGGGCCAATTTTTCGTACTTGCTCAGTGTGCCCCCCTTTCGTCGAGTGCCCCGCCCGGTTCACAGGGCTGTTGGCCTACCAAGCAAGCACTTGCCCGCAGCTCCTGCCGCCTGCCAAGCGGGCTCCGCGCTCGTTATCCTGACTGTTCTCTCTGCTGGGCCCTTTCCTATTGCTCTAACCATAAGCTATGGCAATTCCAGCTCGCACCCACTCTGGCCCGCTCAGCGAGGCCTGAGTGAGCTCAGTGGTCAGCCCCTGACGTTAGGGGTCTTTCGCTTTTGCCAGATCTATAGAGATATTACGAGTCCTCCGTCCCAGATTCCCTCGCCGCGGCCATCTGGTTCACCGGTACTACCAAAAAGTCTCATGCTTACGTTACTGTGACTGATATATAAGTATGATCCCGGACTACGAAGACCCAGTCGTGCTTCTGGTTTCCATTCTCATCATCATATTGAAGGAAACTCCTCGTGCTCTGCCATAAGAACTTGGAGTCCGTATCATGGTGAAGGTAAGGTAACGCTGTGATTCTTGCTCAAAAAACTGACCGAACACGTTCGAGTTATTGGCTCGTCCGACCCGGACGCATTCATGAGTCGCTCGTTCAACTGTCCCTCGGAGACACGGTCGAGAAGTGCCATGCATGGTCGCCCCCCCCCATCCTTTCTTTCTCTCGGTCCCACCAGGGCGGGCCCCTCTGGGGTAATAAAAAATGGATAAAAAAAGGGGACTTCTGCTACGGGCTATGCCACCCATTACTTATGAGGGAAGTCGCATCCGTCCCATCGCAAGCACCTACAATGTCATGATCACATTGGTTTACCCTTTTTTGGTAGTTCAACGGACGGTCGCCCCTCCAACAAGAAAAGGTAGAAATATGGAAACTTCTCTGCCATTTAGATCGGAGAATTTATAGAGGAAATCGGGTTTTAAATTTCCAGAAACCACACGATTATATAGCCAAAGGGAATACGCCGCGCCTAAAATCATCCCAAGCGCTGCTAATGTGGCTACTAAGCTATTTCTTTGGAAAGCTCCTACTAAGATTAGAAATTCCCCAATAAAGCTGCTAGTGCCGGGTAAACTCATATTGGCTAAAGTGAAAAAGAAGAAAATGGTAGAGAAATTCGGCATGGTGCTCACTAAACCTCCATAATATCTAACAAGTCGAGTCTTATGTCGGTCATATAGAACACCAACACATAGAAAAAGGGCTGAAGAAACCAGTCCATGACTTAACATAAGTAAAATGCTACCCCCAATTCCCTGTATGTTCGATAGAGCCTAATATTCCCCCAGAGTACGCCGCTTACCCTCCGAACCGTACAAGATAGTTACCACCTATCATACGGCTTTCTAACTCCACTTCTTTTCTGGTCGTTCCGCTCTGTCGGATCGATGGTAGTCTCAGAGATCTGGTAACCTCCGACATTTTTTACAACACGCTTCCTGCTTCCGTTTTGAGTTGCGCATCTTTCCCCCCGGGGCATACTATACTATAGTATCACATCGTAGACCTCCACCCCAACTCTATCTTCCTTATCAGTGAACCGGAACATAGTGCATAGGTACTCTTCGATGCTGCGAGGACGAGACGAGGTGACATACTACGATCACGCACTGAAGTTCTGCCCTTCGGCTCGGCATATGGAACCTCTCAACTGCTCCCTCGGGATAGGTAGGCCCATCCCCCACCCCCCTTTCCCGAGAGGCGGCCGGGCTGTGTTTCCCCAGCGGCCACCCAGTGGCGGCAGAAAACGAAAAAGGGTGGGCTCCGCGCGGTTCGCGTTTTATTGTAAAGAGAGAGCTTTTCATTCTCTTATAGAAGCCCGCGTCCACGCGGGTAAAGCCCAGCGAAGCTGCAGGGAGCACTGAGCAATGGGGGGATGAGGGCGACTCCGCCCACGGGTTGGACCACACCACAGGCAAAAGTCCTTCCACGGCAAGAGAAGGGTGACCGGAACAAGAAAAGGGAGCTAGTCGTTGGAGGGAAGACAAGGCTCGTTCCGTGCGACTCCACAGAAGAGTACGCGCGCTAGAAAAGGCAGCCAGCTTAAAAACGCTAGCTACTTTTTTTTTAGCCTTATTTAGTTTGGTTGCCTACGCTTGCTCCCCGGCGCGCTACGGCAACACCCCCTGCTTGCTTCTTTCTGTTCGACGCGGAGCTCGCAGCCTCCCCACCCTTGCTTAGCGTTCCACTTGTGATCCTGGAGGATTTGGAGAAATGCGCCCGACCATGAAGAATGGATTTTTTCTTATCTTTCATGTGAACGGCCCTATCTTGTAAAGAATGGTTTTTCGTGCTATAGACCACGTTGAGAAAGACCAACCAACAACACAAATAAAGCCCGTTCCATTTGGGTACCTCGAAAGGGAGGTGCTCTTTATGATGCTACGGACGACTGTCCGAAGTGCATGCAATGACGGGCTCGGATAGGATAGGATTGTGCGCGCCGGGCCCTTCGGGTGTCCATATTTTGGCCGACCTTAGCGTAGGCCCCTATGTTATGCGGCCGTAATATTTTTATAACTTCCACCGCTGTTACGCCAGAAATCCAAGGTTCCACACGAGCTCCTGTTCTGCGGCGTGGTGGCAGGACCGCTAGGGGATTGGCTCCGGGTGTAGGTAGGGTCAAATCCGCAGGGGTCATGCAAATACATAGGCCCCTTCCCTTCTGCCGAGTTGTTTAGAAGGCGCTTTCCGTTCTACGGTCCCTCGGAGCGAAGGGTTAGGCAGGTAGTACGGGCCCTCTGACTTCCAGCTATGTGCTGTGTGCGACTCCCGCGAAGCGAATGAAGGGAAGCTCTTCGAGCTTTCTCCGCCTGCGGCTTATGTAGTGGTCGGCATTCCTACGTGCTCCGACTGATCCCCACAGGAGATTATGTGAGGGGTCTTGGAAACTGTCGTGACGCTTTGGTGACGAAGGTCACCGGGGTGACTATGGAAGGATTCCGTGGTAGTCTCTGACTCCCTCCAACTCAATCAATATCAAGAACATGTCGTGAGCATGGGGGTTTGGCCGACTACTAAACTATACTATTGGCTAGGGCTAGGCTAGTTATAGCTTCTATAGTGAGTGGCCCTTCCGCTTTGATCTAGTTGTAGTTTGTATTGTACTAAATTGAACACATATCAAAGAAAGGCGATCAATCAATAAGTAGTTGCCCTTCTCCGGCCTGGGAAAAGCAGCGAACTCGTTAAACTAGGGGCTTTTTTATTCATGGCTGTTGTATTGTATATTGTCGGGGGAAGCTACTGCTTCTACGACAGCTCCGCTTCCTCGTCTTGCTTCTACTTTGCTTGTTTGCGCGAAGGCTTAGAGTCCTTTTCGCTAGGTCCAAATTCGTCAAAGCGAAAGATCAGATCCAACGGAAATCCCGCATATTGAGCGCAGCTGATATGTGGCTACTAGGCGCGATCATCTCACATGCCATAAAAAAATACTTCTTTTTTTTATGGCCCGTCATATAAAGATAGAATAGATATGGATAGAGAGACATTCTATTGAATCGCGAAATGGCTCGTCGATCCAAATGAATCATTCTTCTGGTCTCTCTCTGCCCCCCGCCCCAAAACTGACCCACGACACTGCGCCCATTCGTTTCGCGCGCGGGAAGGCAACGAAGTTCTGTTCAAAAGACCGCAGCGGAGTGGAGCAGCCGCGACACGAAGTTCCTTACCTTAGCTGGATCTCGCTGGTGCCACCTAAACGGTAGGTATAGGCGGCGGATGTCTGACGTTTGGAGTTGTTGTTCGTGCACCTGTCCCCAATAGAAGAATGAGTGATCCCTTCCCCTGCGCTGCGGATCATGGCCTTACCACTAGGTCCCCGATGGCCAGCGGGGGATATTCGGTAAAGCAGCTCACGTTCGTTTGCGCTGCGCGTTCCCGCTGGACCGGACACGTGTTAGCTGTAGGAAGTATGGTTACGAAAGTGACTTCGGTTCGCCAGTTCAGGCTCAACTCCTCGCTTTACGTTAGCGGACTTACAGGTCGGGCCGGGGCTCCACGCTCTTTCTTTCTGTGTGGGACGATGCCGGGGAATGTGTCGAGGCGGCGAACAACAACAAGACAACTAACTACATTTGCTTTTTCCCCCCATGAGATGCGCCAGTGCATTGGACCGATGGATAATAGAACTGAGCTGGCCAAAAAAGCGCTTGGGCGCTCTACATACGATGTAGACTCCATCAGATACATATCGATTTCTTTCTGATGGATCCAGAATAGATAGATATCTTGTATCATCAATAGATAGAAAGAGGTCAACCCTTATTATTGATAGATTCCCTTTCGATCTATCAGAACAGATCAGGCCATCTATATCAATCGATTTAAAAGGTTCATCTCGCTTTTCGGTCATTTCAGCCACGCTATAATAGCCGCCACAATAAGAAAGAAGCAAGCGAAACAGCTAGAAGCGCTCGCTTCGCCGCGCCCAACAATTCTTATTCACGGGAACCGAAAGATTCGATTCGGACTTCGTAGAGCCGGTGCTGCTGCTGTCTGCGTAGGGCCGTCCCCCACTCCCGCCCCGGGGCGCTAAGGGGTTTTGTTTTAGGAACAGACGGCGGTGTTTTGCTGACGCCTCGAATCGACGCTTTTGTTGCGACATGCTAAGTTTTCCCCCCTATTGCTAGTAGGTTGATGGGTCGCACGCCCGGCACACATGTTTTGGCCTTGCTTGTGTGTCCATAACTCAAAATAGGTGACCTAACGGCCGCCGCCCGACTAAACATACCAATAGTCACCAAATTCATATGGGCTACTGAGGAGTAGGCAATGATCTTCTTAAGATCGATCTGTCTTAAAGTGGTCAAGGAAGTATATATTATAGCAATCGCGCTTAGAGTATAAATGAAAGGAGTGAAACAAAGTGTCGCTTCGGGAAACATGGGTATTGAAAATCTTAAAAACCCGTAGGTTCCCAATTTTAAAAGAATTCCTGCCAAGATGACGGATCCAGCCGTAGGTGCCTCTACATGGGCTTCGGGTAACCAAATATGAACTGGTACCATAGGCACTTTGACGGCAAAAGAGGCGAAAAAAGCAATCCATAGAAGGATTTGGCGCCGCTCACTAAATTCTGTGGTTAATAAAATTTGTAAATCGGTGGTTCCTGTTTGGAGAAGAATCAACAGAATAGCTAATAGCATAAAAACGGATCCCAGTAAAGTATATAGGAAAAACTGATATGCTGCCTTGATCTTTCTTTGTCTCGAACCCCATACCCCTATAATGATGGTAGAGTCAGGGGTGGCCCCAAAGCGGAATTGACCGGTGGTGGTTGGTCGAAGCTCCAGTGGGTAGCCACTCCCTTCTCAGGGAACCGTACGTGAGACTTCCGCATCATACGGCTCCGTCCCGAGCTTCCGTCGTCGGCCCTTGTCATTAGACCACTATGCTTGTCTTTTCCGCCTTGACTCTCGAATCTTTTGCTTCTCGGGTGGTGGCGAACCATGCTGCTTGCGTAGCGGGAGATGCCCGCCCGTCGGGCCCGGCCTGCTTCCTGCCCGAAAGAAGGCTAGCAGGACTAGTGGTAGGGCCGTCAAAAACCCTACCTTTCGAACCCGCCCGTTCGTTATATCTAACGATAGAGAGATCCGTGAAAGTCATTGCCTTATGTTATGGTCGCCCCCCGACTGACGGCCTTTACGCAACTACGACTACTGTGATGTGAGCGGTTCTATTGGTTTGATCTTTCCGGCCTCCACTTGTACGAAGATGCATGCATAAAGGGACCCGCCCCTTTATTTATCTTTATTTTCTTTATTAGGACAGGACCCTACCCTATTCTCGAACCCTCCGCCGAGCTCTACCCTGCCCGCATTTATTTGGAAGGGGGCCAAAGAAATGTCTCCACCTGCTGCCAACAGTCTTTCTTCGGAATTCTACTGAACGGGTCGATCCTCCCCCCCCCCCCCCCCGTTTGTTTTAGCAACTTATCCTAAGGTCTCTTCGCCAAGAACTCTCCGGCAACGACAGAGGAACTAACCTGCCTGCTGTGGCGGGGCGGCTTTTTTTTAAACAATAAGACCTGGACGATTATCCCTACCCTCGGTAGCTTACGAGTTTACGTCCATCCCTGGTCGGGTACAGTTTCCTTTATTTTTATCCCTTGTAGCCATTACCCGAATTCGCGCAAGTGTGTCCACACCCCCCCCCTGACTTGACGAGGAATCCATTCTCGCGAACAAACACACCCCCTACACACACCTAGGAGCACCCCTTCCTGCATATCCATACAAGACCTGAGTAGGCGGGTCGAGGTCCTACGAGGTACCCACTACTCGGAGTACCCTCCCACCAAAAAAAGATGTGTGGTTCGGTGGTTCGACCAGAAATGCTATGCTTACGCACAAGACTACCCCTCTTCCCGAAAGCTTCGCGGGGACCTTTACTACTTTACGACGACGGGGGACCGCCCGTAGGGGGTTTACTGCACAAGGCCCCTGCAGAGGAAAAGCTTGATCCCAGCGAATAGAAGATGCTCAGCTCCGCACAACATAGGGATTGGCACGCTTTCGGAAAGAACATAGAATAGTAGAGGATCCAGCATGCAGGACACGGCGATCATTAGAAATTCACGAATTAGAAATGCTGTAATATACTCTTTCCCAAAACTTCTCATACCAGACCAACCCACTGAAATGCAAATAGGGATCAGAAATGTGGTCAATATCACGAAGAATAATGAAAGACCGTCTATACCCATATACAAATGGATGTTTTCATAAGGAAGCCATCGAAGGCTTTCCACAAATTGAGATTTGGCCGTAGAAGGATCGAATTGTATCCGAGGAACAAGGGGATACAAAAAAGTAATAAGAGAAACGCACAGACCAATCAATCGTATCAGTCTTATTGAAGAATTTGGAATGAAAAGAAGAGTAATGCTTCCTAGCACGGGACAGAGAATAGGACCACTTAGATCGAAATAGCATTCACAGAAATGTTCTAACATAGAGTAGAATCGAACATTGAAAAGATTAGTTGACAACAGTCAATCAAAAAAAAGATGGGGCGCCAAATTACTAAACAATAGGGGTCTTTCTGTGCAAGTCAGCTGAACACCGTAATTGATGAGTGAGTAGGTGGGTTAGGCGCACCCCTCGCCCAGTGGGAAGTCATGAGGCTAGCCCCCCTGAATGAAGAAGTAGTGGGGCCCCCTGCCCGCCCACGTATGCGCCTTTATTTAGATTCTAACTAAATATTATACTGAACTTTATCCGGGAATCTTTCTAAAGAATCCATCTGGCAAAACGCAATTTGTCGATTTCAATCTAAGGTGCACCTTGCCTTTTTCAGGTAGCTTTGTTACGCCTATTCAGCTAGGTGGGGCATTGGTCATAGCCGAAGTCGAAGGGCAAAAATAAGGTAATGAGATGATGGTGCCATCAAGAAGTTTTCGACGAACGTAGTAGCGGCCAAAAATGAAACTCTTGCATGAAAGACCGGACGCAAGATGAATGGCGTTGGGGTTTTTCAAATGAAACCCGTGATCAGAAAGTCACCAACGGAGCCATACAATCTATCTAGTAGTGTGCCATAGCACGGTATAATGGTCAACGACTTTGATTTGTTCGTACCATTCTGTCATCGATCACTGCTGGGTCGGTTGGTGAGTCACCCAAAAAAAGCATAGAAAAAGGTCAAGCAAAATGATCAGCGGTCTCATTTATGCTATGCCCTGCATCGTGTTCGTGTGTGTTTTTGAGCTTTCTTAACTTTCAGCGCCATGCGCTTTGCTCCGCTTTATAGCATAGAGAGACCGACCGTTGTCTTGAGAGTGAAAAGCAAGCGATAGAAAAGATAGTCCCTCGCGCGAACTACTATGGTGAGATCATTAGTGAAAAAAGGACCAACGACAATCAAATCCTAAAAGAGAAGGAGGAGTCAGTTTTCTTTAAAGATCGAGGTGTCAATAGGACAGGACAATTATGCCATTCGGAAGAAGTCTTATACAGAGGGAAAGCCTGTTACGAGTAAGTGGAGAGGAAAGATCTCCAGAGATTCTTATCCAGTGGCTCGACCAGTAACCAAGGTCGAAAACTCGACCATGGTTTCCCGGTAGAACCCCATTTCGCCCAAGTTGTTGCGGAACCGGAAAAAGAAGCGGTTTTTCGCGCAGCTTGCTCATTGTGCTGGTCCCACTTTTCTATTTATTTGGCCGAAAAAGCATCGGACAGGTTGGAGTTCCAACCTTCTTGGGACTCCATGGACCAAGATCTGCTTTCATTATATGGGCAATACCAATCTACTAAAGTAGATCATATGGATGTAGAAAAAGCTTTAGATTTTGTGATGAATTGGAAACATCTCTTTTCCATTTCTATTTACCTAGTTCATATTTTTGTTTCGTGTGTTCTCGGGAGGAATTCTATCTCTAAAGAAAAAGTTTTGGAAGATTTTTTTAACCTCAGCCTAGCGGATTCTCCCCGTTACCTGGACCTGCCTCCCCCGCGGTCAAAACTCTCCTCTCCAGCCCCTCTGGCTGGGCCAGAAGCCTCGTCTCCTTTAACTGATTCAAGTGATTCAGTCAAAATGAAAGTAATCTCACAGAAAATTGGATTATCTAAAACCTCGTAAAAATGACAACGCTAAATCGAAAGTCCTTTATTTATATACAACACACACATATTCCTTTCAACTTACGAACATGAAAATCCAGTGGATGGTTTGGAAGGTTGGAAGAGTGAAGAAAGGTTCTTTACCCCCGGAGACCGGCTTTCGTGAAAGCACCTTTGGGCGATGGTTTCTCGATCCTCTCTCTCACTTGAAGGAAGATAGCCACTATATAAATAGATATATATATATCCATTTATTTATTCCAAATTTTCAGTGATTTTTTAGGTGGCGACTCTAAACCCCTTTTTCTTCTACTTGGTTGCTTAGGTGGCCAAAGTAATGATGATGTGGCAAGCGGTGCCAAAATGCGGGCGTACAGCAGGCGACTCCACAGGGGAATAAAAGCCTTAAATCAAAGGTTTTTGGCTTATAAATATAAATGGCTTGACTTGAAAATTCACCAACATTCCCATTTCTTTCCTTTGTGAAAAATGTAGTTTGTATAAACTAAGGGTTAACCTATTTGCAATAAGCACACACCACCTCACTACACCTAAGCATTGCATGCATATGCGTCTTGCATATCTGGAATTGTCCCCAAATAGGAAAACCTGGTGGGAAGTCTTGGTTGGCATGGTCCAGGGGGCCGAGTCATACTATCCCCAAAAACCCACCACCTGCTGTCAAGTACTCCTCTTAGGAGGGTATACCAAAGTGGGGGTGCATAGTACCGCTTGACCAGTCCGACGTCCTAGAGATGAAGGGCTGGGAGGTATATTTTAAAGCCCTCATTGTTGTGGGAACCTTAACTTGTCTTACTATAGCCTAAATTCCATCATGTAGTGGCCATAGAACTACTGAAGTTTAGGACTACCCAGTAGGATGCACCTGAGCACTAAGCAACACTAAGAGGTGATTTGGTTTTTGTTTTTCCTTGGCATGGGAAAAGATGGATTAGATGCTCTGTGAATGTGTGGCTAAACCTGTGGGGCTGTATGGTACTTTAGCTGGACTTTACACCAGCTCTATTCACTGATAGCGTTACTGGCTCTTTTCCAGCATTTCTTGAAAGCAGCTCGCACTCACCGCTGCGCGCCTAGTTAGGCTTTTCAATAATAGGAACAAAGATCTTCCGCAATCAATGTTGTACTCAAATCCTCTCTGGCCGGAGAGGGGGATCTCTTAAGCAGAGTATTCCGAGTCTAGGGCTAGCGGAAGCGTTGAAGAGGGATATCGTTTTCAAAGAAGGCATGGGGTCCTTTCGTCTTTGTAGAGACTTTCACAATATACCAGTGGATAATACCATCCAAGAGAGAAGGCCCATAAAAAGAAGCAGGCAACAAAACATCTTGATTTATAGGAATCAACGACCTCGCCACTGCAAAGGAGGAAGTCGAATGATTTGGATTCGGACAGGCTGTCTCGACAGTAAGAAATCGACATCATCATCTGTCTTTCATGATGGTGGGAGGCAAGATTTCGTGGTCAAGCACAAACCAAGCATAAGTGGATAGCAACTTATACTATGGAGGCAGAGTCTCCTCCCCTCATTTCTGGGCTGCTTATTCGTCATCACGGAGCAACCCGGTACCTTTTCTTAGGCGAGCGACTGAGACGAGAGCTTTCAATTATGCCGTTTTGGTCAAATCCCAGGGCTCTTTCTGATTTGATTAAATACTTCTATCATTTAGATAGAGAGTGATCTTTCCTTCTTGTCCGAGAAGGCAACAACCATTTCATTTCTTTAACCCGGATTGCATTATTTAATTGATTTACTACGTCGTGTACTACGTATTGGTTCGCGAATGCGTTGCTTGAAGGAAGGAAGCAGCTTTAGAGGAGGGATGCCGTCAAAGGGGTCTGCCGGATTTGGGCTTTGCTAAAGATACCGGTTCAATATGTCATTTCCGAAACCGAGGAGCACACCGCTGGGAGGACAACTCAAGCACCAAAGACAAAGGTATCGCTCGTAAAAGGAGCTTGCATCGTAGTACTCGCTCTAGCGTTAGGTTCAATCCAGCGTTAGGTAGGATAGGCAGGTATTCTAGGGATATGCTCATCCGCTGCCCGCGTAAGGTTCGTATCTGTCCAAGGACAATGGTATAAGGTTCGCATCTTCCCAAAGCCGAAGAACTTCTTTGAACTACAGCCAAGGCAAATCTCTAGTATTGGTACCGGGGGCCGGTGTCTAGGGATAGGAGCCGTCAAAGGGCTAGTCATCGCTAGAAAATCCGAAACAAGGCTATCGCTATCCCGGGGCGTAGCATAATAGGAATCGGGTAATTCGCTCGTCATTTCATATCTCTACTCAATTGGCTAGGTTGCCTCCGAGGAGCCGTTGATTGCCGTTACCGAGCCCCTCTTTTTCTTTCTTTCAAGAGCTACACCGCAAGCTCGTCTCGCAAGTCGACGCATCTAGCAATGCCTCTGAAATCCAGGTACTTACCATCTGCAAAGGACCTGTTACGCGCTGCTTGTGCTAAGTCACCCAATCGTTCCCCACAACATTCTCAATGGCAACTGCTCAGGCACCGTGGGAATAGCTCAGAAGGAGGTGATAAGCATTATAAAATTGATACGAAGGATATCCGTAGAAATCTTTCTATTCGTAGTAGTCTAGGACCCGGGCTTTGGGGATGAGGATTCGTATTCCTATTTCTTTCTTTGGATTGAGCGACAAAAACAAGAGTGAGAATGCAGGATTGAAGTTCAGTACTTGCTTACTAGCTTTCTACTTGGCAGGGACAGGGGTTCGTGGTAGACTTACTTGTCTATGCAGGCGTGAAACAATCTTCCTTTCCTCTGGACTTTATCATCATTATATACTTGCTTTACCACTTGAATTAGATCTTCTTTTTAATACCTAACTACTATTAAATTCCTTTCATGCCTTTATTCACAATACAATAATTCAAATCTCAATCATGTGCTTTGCCGAGGAGAGCGCTCGCTACCCGATCCCCCTAAGCTAATGTAGTTCCCAGGTTGCCTACTAGATACCGTTTACGACTATATCCGTGTAGGAAGCCGAGGAAAGAGATAATTGATAGTTGCCAAAACCACGTAAAAGAAATGAGATTGAAATATGTTCAATTCAACAAATTCTGATTGTTTCATTATCAAATGCAAGGGATGTGGGACCAGGTTCTGTTATTGGAGTTAAGCGGTGTAGGAGCCGTGCCGTTCCTGTGTATTAGCTCGTTGTTAGCAGCCCTGAAGGGCGTAAAGGGGGTAAAAGAAGATAAATATTTCTCGGAAGCAGCTCTTCGCCTGTGGGAACTTGCTCTTTTCTTTTGTTTGAAAATGGATTGGATTGTAGCAAAGACCCGTTTTGAGCCCTTGGAAAGGGTATTATGGGTTGAGTAATAGTGTTAGTATATTTCCCTTGCCCGAGGACAGTCTATCGATGAACGGATACTAGGAATCGTAGGAATAGCTCCCCTTTTCGTAGGAATAGCTCTAGCGCTCGCTACGCCCTCACCTTTTCAATCCCATGTTGATGTAGAGTATACTTCAATTGCTTCGAACAAGAGCTAGGTGATCATCGACAGCTTGGGCGTTGCTGGATAATAGGATAGGGGATTCAATGAAAAGGATGAAATGAAGAGTATACCCACGTCAACTTCTGCTCCTAACGTATACGAATGGTTCTTATGCTCGCCAAGGGAAGGGGGCCGAACCCATATCCGTTACCCGAAACCAGGAGTTAAAAAACTAGGGATGCGGGAAGCCATTGGAAAAAGATATGCGAATCCGCTGGTTAAACCCTTTCTTCAACCCCTTGGTATGATACCTCCTTTCCCTTTGCTTTGCTAAAAGATACCCGTTCCGCTGTTCCATTGGTGCTGTGCCTTGTAGGAGCCGTCATCTTCTTCTTTGCTTCGGAAAAGTCATCTGATTTATTTGCTTCGGGGATAGGAATGTGCACTTTTGTTCATGTGCACATCAACACAATCCGGGATGAATCAAAGGCATGGAAAGGGAAGAGATAGCCCTACCCTTCAGTGAACCACTCAAGGTCAACCTACGCCTGATATCCGCGGTTATTATACGATGCAGTTCGTGGATTGGCAAAACCTGGATGATCAAAGCATCTATCTATGGTTGGGGGCTTCAAGATCGTCATAACATGTCACAGTAGAGTCATCTAGCTTATAATGGGAGGCTGAAAGCGAGGGGAAACCCTTTCTCATGTGGGTATTAGCAAGGTATAAGACAAAGAGAGTCGTTAGTGGGATAGGTTTTTCTTGTAGGAGAGAGATCGGGAATCCAGACAACAGGGCTAGGGTTTGGGGCTAGTGCGGATTAGTTTGGGCGGAAAGAATTGAAGAGAGGAGAAAGCCATGACCGATAGAGCTCGGGTTGGATAGGGAAAGGAAGAAAAAGGGGTAGGGTCAACCTAAGGATTTAAAACCTGAGCTTAGGCTGACGACTGCTTCGAGAGCAGATAGAGGATCCTCTTCTGGGCATGAATCTGGTTTTCAAAAAGAAAAAACCTTTTTACTAAACCAGATCGACGAGCAATGAATCTAATCGCAGAACGAGCAATGAATCCCCAACGAACGCCAAACGAACAAAGGCTCCTCTTCTTTTCCGGTGTATCCTTCGCCCAAAAGTTCTTAAGTAAATTTAGAAAAAGAACCTAACCGTCAGTCTGAACTCCCAGGAAATGAATAGCTGACAGAAGGAGTCACTGTTAAGTGGTTTCTGTGTGTGCTCTTGAAAGCGCGGCTAATATAGCTCGGTTAATGTAGTGATTGTGTTTCCCTTTTGTCTAGTGGATTAATCATGGTGCAATTGATTGGATTATATAAGCATGGGAGTTCGCTAAAGTTTACACCCTATTGTTAGGCCTTATTCTAGGCTTGAATGCGCAAGACCGAAACTCAAGGCGGGGGAGATAACCTCCGTTTGCTGGATCTTCTAGGCACTTCAAACAGAAAATCTACTTATCCAGTAACAGGGGACGGAACATAGGAAGGAGACACGTGCTACGAAGAAATAGGAGATTGTCAAAAACAGGGAAGGCTACGGATACACATGGTGCTAGGCTAACAAGTATCTTCGTTTG